TTAAAACTTTTCTTTAAAATATGGTAGTTTCGTCTACTATACATTATTTTTAGAAATATAGTATTTGATCCGCTAATATAATAGGATACTGTATTAAATAGTTAGGGTTGACAGCCCTACGTCGAAATATGACCGTAAAGGTCCCAATACTGTTAGCCACGGGTCAAGATCCGAGGCAAAAACGAATGGATCATCTGTTATGAGTACCATAATCGATAGAGATCGAGAATCGACCCGAACCCGTTTTGCGAGTATCGATCTAGATCATCGATCAGTAGAACAAGCAAGGTTTTTTTATAAACATAAATGTTTTTGTGTAGTTCAATTAAAAAAGATGAATCTACATTATAGATTTATTTATTATCATATATATAATTACTATTATTATTATAGATATATTTATAGATATATGTATATTATATCTTAATAATAGCTTTCCGAAAAATCACGCGCATATGATAGCGTTTCGCCACATTTAGCATTAAATGCAGTCCATGTAATTAGTAAAAGCGTTTATTTTACATACTTCTTAATAACTGGGATATTATGGCGGTAGTTATGGGGCCATGTCTTTTGCAACTACACAAAACCTGACCAGTAACACACAATCTCTCCGTTCAAACCAAAAAGTTCTATGATTATGACTTAAATTTACCCTAGAAATGGTAGATAGTTGACCAGAAAATGTCTTTAAATTTTCTTTAGTTTGACAAAAGTTTAAATATTAATTTATAATTGTTTCATACTGCATGTGATAGTTTACTATATCAAAAAAAAAGCGAAGAAGATGCTATGATTTTAATCTTACGAGACTCGTTTTTGTGAAGACGATGAAGAGCAATTTAAAATCCAGGACCTGTACCATGAACTATTCAATCGATTCAAAAGCATTAATTGAATAAGTATGGCGCCTATTCATGAAAGACGCATGGCGTAGCGGTTTTTCTGGTAGTATTGAGGCACCCCTCTGTAGGAGTGTTTCACGTTGTTCTGCTGACAGGAAATGTCCCAAAAACTCTGTGCTATTAAAAAACCACTGAGATAGTACGAATATTAAGTTAACTACACGACATTCCTACACGAACAAAGAAATTTGGTGACACATTTCTTTGTCGTACTATTCGTAAGTGGAATTCTTTGCCCGCGCACGTGTTCCCTCCTTCCTACAATCTGGGGTCCTTTAAGAGAGGCGTGAAGAAGCATTTTTGCAGGCCGGCAAGGTGAGGATGGTTGGTGTAGCAGTTTATAACTGCTGTACCAGCTATCTTCACGTTTGGACTTTATCACCACTCAACATTAGGTGGGGTAGACTGCCCATGCGCGGGCCATCCTGCACACGTCTGCGGGGTCCCCGCAATACCTCGGCAGACCCCTGCCGTGGAGCCCCGGCGAGGCCGGGAAGCTGCTGGGTGTGGAGTCGTGGTAGAATCCCTTTCGGGGACCCCGCGGCTTCGCATTAAGAAATGTAGAAGGTATTCGCAGGACTTTTTAGCGGATATTATGCCGTAAAGCGCCCGTAAAAGTTGCAGGGTCCTCGGTGGGTAGCTCGGTGGGCAGCCACTGGGGGGTCCGTAAGACTTGTGGGAGCCAGGTGTGAGGTCCGTTCGGTGTGCCTCTTAAAGGCGCCGTCGTCTGTAAAAAGATTTTTTACCTGCGTTATAAAAAAAAAATGAAAAAAAAGGTGGGGTAGACTGTAGAGTCATTTGCCTACCTGGATATAAAAAAATATATAATAACAACTTATTAATATCACCGGGATTTAATTAAGAACATATCTGATGCTGTATAAGAGCAGTGACCTTGAAACTCGCCACTCACTGCAGTTAATGTAATATTTTAAACACAGAAACGGTTTATACAGAACACTTAGTCAAGTACTGTGTACCTCGCAGGAAACTCAGTGATAAGCAGAGAGATAAACATGACGACGTCAGTGGCCGAGTGGTTTGTACGCCGGGTTTCAAGGTGTCGCTTGCTCAAGAGGTTCCGTGTTCGAGTCCCGGTGGCGACATATGTTTGCGTGTTGATTACGAGCATTTGTACTCCAGTCATGGATGTTTAATATGTATTTCTATAGAAAATACTTATATATGTCGCACGTCACAAACAAAAGGGTATTATCTTCAAAAACAGTGTTTTGAGATATCGCGTTTTGAAGTTTTAAAAAATCATAGAAGCTGAACTACTTGTTCAAATGTTTAAAATGATACCTTGATTTAAACGTAGATTATCCTTCTTTGTGTTGAGTAAGTTAAGTTAGTGTATCAATATTAGTTTTTATTTTAAAAGTACTTTTATGTGACTGGGCAAAGAGAATACCCGTTAAGCAGTTCAAATGGCTCATGTTAAAATTACAACTAGTATCATTTTAAAATAATTTCGATGAAAATAAGATGTTAAATAAAATTGAACAGACCAGAGGGCATTATTTTTAATAAAACTTCAAACTTGTATTAATCCGAACGGCCAATAGGGTATTAACTTAACCTAATACTGTTTAGAATACTCACTATCATAAATTTTGCCTAGAAATTAACGACATGTGTTGCTATAATTCAAAAACTATTTCGAATTAAAATACAATTACCTTACCAGTTTATAGAGAAAAAAATGTAGTTTTCGAAACGCAAATAAAAAAATAAATGGTTTTGCAGACTTAATACCTTAATTGTGACATGATTGTATTCTATCCGTTACCCTAGTATCCCATAACACAAGCCTATAGTGCTAACTTCGGGGCTAGGCTAATGTAAATGAGTGTTGGAAATATTTATTTATTTATAAACAGCGGCTGCATATTAATGGAATTCCGTTTGTTATTCTTTAATTAAGGAACCCCAAATAGACCGAAACGGCATCGTATTGTGAGTTAGTAGTGCGGCCTCAGGCGAAAAGATTTGAGATAATATGGTACTCCTGCTATTGTTTGTGTGAGATGGTCATTATCACAGCAAGATAATGATTGGGGCTATGGTGTCGTTTGAGTTTTATTTATAGATATTTAGGTCACGAAAATAATATTCTTACTTCTATTGTTCTTAATAAAACAGCTTTATGAATTGCTACCTTAAAACCTTAAGCCGTTGAACTTCCGGCTTCCTTTCGACTGGCCTACCAGCAATGCCGACAGTCCTCTATGCCCTATCTCGCTTTACATATTTAAAGTCGACATATCATCATCATCATCAGCATATTATAATGACACAGACCTTACCTGTGGTTGGAATAGAGAGATTGAGCCATGACCCGCCACGCGGGCCCAGTGCAGATTGGTGGGTGCTAACGACTGCAGATGCAGCCGGGACCAACGGCTTAACGTGCCTTCCGAAGCACGGAGGAGCTCGAGATAGTAAATTTTTGGTCACCCATCCAATGACTGACCACTGCGAAAGTTGCTTAACTTCAACGATCGCAGCCGAACGCGCTAACCACTTGCGCCATCGAGCTCCTCTTGCTACCTTAAACTAAGGTCATTGAGCTTCCGGGTCCATTTCGATTGGCCTTCCAATAGTGCCGACATTCCTCTATTATGCCCCACTTCGTTTTTCACATTTAGATCCTTCACATCATCATCATCATCAGCTTATTAATGTCCCCACTATCAAGCTCCTCAGAATATATCGACTCCTCAGACTTCACACAAGTAAACTTAATTACTTCCTTATATTATGTTGTTTAACATCAGAGAGTGTTAACATACACCATGAATTTTGATTAACCCGACAAACTTAAAAATCGTGTAAATAGACACAGTTGCAAAAGTTATAAACTTACTACATACCATACCAGAATATTTATTTATATCTTTATAATCATAAAACGTCACTTTGTAAATAATGTACCTAATAAGGAATTTATAAATTTATAAATATACTAACTTGAATAATTCAAACTGATACATACACGTATGCTACAAATACAAAATACATCCGCACTTAAACACATATACACACACACACACACACCCACATATACACACATACACATACACCCACACATCATTTTCATGCATTACATATTAATTCAAATATTATACTCATAGATGCCTTGCTTTTAAAATGAATTGCTTCCTATTGATCTTTTCATTTATGAGATATTTATTTAGTCTAGTTTAGTATTCTCATGTCTGTGGGGGTTTATGGCGCTGAATGCTGAAATACAGGCATTGCCTAGTTCAGCAGCAGAGGCTAATAAATTATACTTTCTGTAACTAGTGCTAAGTTTAACAAACTTTGTTTGTTTGTTATTATTATTATTATTAATTAATATCTGTTTAAAGTACGGAGGTCCTAAAAGTAGTTCTATTTGAATCAATTTATAACAATTAAAATTGTTAAGATTTCATAATTGCAAAAATTGGGAGATAACGTGGCGACATTTTCCGAAAAAATAAAAAAAAATGTAGCTCGTTTCAATCAAATTACTATGGCATTTGACAGTTAAGCGCTATAAAAACATGATATAAACTAAATTGAGTTGTTCGTGGTACGGGGACTAAATTACCTGATAAAGTTTGCCAGGTAACTCAAAATACACGGTGTATAGAACATTAACAGATATAGATGGAGTGACGATTTGTCAAAAAAAAAAGATTTTTTATTATTGACATCGATATTTTTAGTAATTAGTCAGATTATAATTGTATTTTTTTAATCAATTTAATTTATTTAAGAAAGTGCAATGTTCTAAAATTCTCATAACAATAATTATGCAATGTTATTGATTATTATTATTATACTGATTGGGTTTTTATATTATTGACATTTATATTTTAGTTATTTGTCAGAGTATTCTACTTTATCAATTGTTTTTTTTTAATAATGTGCAAAAAATTGTACTTCCTACACAATGTAATATTGTTAAGGAATAAATAAATAAATAAATTGGAGAGGCCTATGTCCAGCAGTGGACTAAGATAGGCTGTTGTTGATGATGATGATGATAGGTAGAAAGTGTTAACTAGTTTCAAAGAAATTCCAGATGTTATTTTTTGTCCTCAGTACACGCCCATTACACAGAAGGACGTTAATGACATACAGCGCAAGTACGAAGATGTGCTGGAAGCTCTACGACCGAATGCAGTCGGCCTCGTTGACGCATTCGACTTCAGGGATGAGGTATGTACACCGAATATTAAATACTTACATCACATACCTTTATTCTGATTATTGCTCATGAGTTGTACAGAGAAGACAGTTTCTTTAAAGTTATTCGTCACTTTTCGTACAATTCTTACTGAAAAAGTGATGTCTCGAGCCCATCGCGCTTAAAAAAAAATTACTATCTCGAGCTTTTCCGTGCTTCGGAAGGCAGGTTGAGCCATTGGTCCCGGTTGCATCTGCAGTCGTCAGCACCCACCAATCCGCACTGGGCCCGCGTGGTGGGTGATGGCCCAATCTTTCTGTTCCATCCATAGGGAAGGCATGTGCCCCAGTTGCAGGATATTAATAGGCTAATTATGACCGCCATCATCATCCTTAAACAATAGTGAACGGATGCCAATCTGAAGAAGCCTTTTTCTATCTGCCCTGAAAATATTGCACCTTTTTACATCACTATACTTTTATGTCTATAAAATCTGACTGGTTATATATGTTAGTTGAACTTATAGGTACTCCATTCGACCCTGGGGTCGTACGATGGTCGCGTGTACGAGCGTCTGATGGAGGAAGCCCTCAAGAGCCCCCTGAACCAGGAGCCCGTCAACCAGAGCTTCCACAAATACCTCAAGCCCTTCATGCAAGGGAAACTGTAACCACTGATTGTGAAAATTGTTTATTTGCAAACAAGAAAGCATCTAGTTAAAAGTAATTTAATTTGCTTACTGTACTTTCATTTAGTCTTTTTTTCTTTGATTTTTTTTACTAATATAGTTTGTCATTTAACTTTGAGTATTTTTTATTAAAGTTTTATAATAAATTCAGTATTATTCATATTTTATCGGTAATGTTGTAATATATTGAAAGCATCTTGTATGTAGGTTTCATTAATTATTTTTAATGAATTGATTATTATTAATTACAAATATTGAAATATATAAAGTTGAAATTATTTCTAATGCTATGATATTTTTCATTTTTAAACAGCATTAATCTAAACTTTTATTATATGATGTATTTCAAATATTAATTTTAATATTTGTGATAATTTTATATCACTCAATACATAGCTACATCCTCTCTGCTCCCAATTTGCAAATTAGCAAGATAAAATAAAAATAGGTGTAAGTATTTTTAAAAAGTTTTATTCGTATTAAAAAATATATTCGTTATATTAAAATAAATTAAGACAGACTTATATCCACTAATAAATAAATAAATAGATTCAGACTTTGCAATTACACCAAGACAAGTGATTTTATGTTGATGAGTCATCTTGATGTGGTTGCTTCAATAATTGTTTTATAGTAGAATTAGAGGCTTTGCGCGTTGGCGTGAGCGCTGCCGAAGCCAGAGGTATTGGCCGCGGAGTTGGTGATCCTGTACCCGGTGCTCAGCCCCTGGGTCTTGGCGGAAGACGAGGCTTTACCAGCTCCGGAGCTCTGTGCGTCGGCAACAGTCTTAGCGCCTCCGTAGCTGTTCAACCTTTGGTAACCAACACCAGAACCCAAGTTGGCGGAGGACTGAGCGGATCCTGAGCCATGGGTGTTAGCCGCTGAGTTGGCGGAACCATAACCGGCAGCGTTGACATCAGACTTAGCATTGGCAGAACCGTAGCCGGCGTTGGTATTGGCGCTGGACTTGGCGGCCCCGTACGGAGAACCGTTGACGTTGGCGGCAGAGTTGGCAGATCCATAACCACCCATGTTCACGTTGGCGTTGGCGGATCCTTGGGCGGCACCGTGGAGGTTAGCGTTGGACTGTGCCGATCCGCTGCCGCTTCCTTGGGTCTGGGCTTGGGATTTGGCTGAACCGAAACCAGATTGGGTGTTGGCTTGAGCGTTGGCGGAGTCAGCGTTGTCGTAGAGAGTGCCGAAGTGCCAGTGGATACCCTTCTGGTTGGTAGTTTTAGCGGAGGAAACGGCGTTACCGTAACCGCTGTTAGCATTGGCGTTGGCAGATCCATAGTTGGCTGGTCCGTAGCCTTGAGCTTTGACGGCAGACACTGCGGAATCATATGCTCCGTTATTGGCAGAAGACGAAGCAGAACCGTAACCACCGTTAGCCTGAGTTTGAGCCGAGGAGCGGGTGGAGCCAGAGTTGCCTTGTGCTGAGGAGGATGCTGATCCATATCCGGCACCGGCACCTTGGGTTCTGGCGGCAGTCACAGCCGAGCCGTAACCAGTGTTGGCGTTAGAATTGGCATATCCAGCGCCTCCATAGGTCTTAGCGTTGGTGGATGTAACACCGTAGCTTCCGACACCTCTCTGTGTTTGAGCAGAAGACTGAGCATTTCCGAGCCCGTTTGAGTTGGCAGATGAGACGGAAGATTCAGAATCGCCATTCATGACAGCGGACGACTGTGCGGAGAGACCACCTGGAGCAGGGACTTCGTTTGGTACTTCGAAGTTCTGTTGGTAAGAGATGACTGTCGCCGGAGCGGGGAGTGGGTAGTAGGCGCCATCCTGGACTTGGGCGACTGCCTTTGCTGAGCCGTACATGGGTACTTCGGGGGCATCGTACGCCACTTCGGGGTAGGCAGGGTAGATCTGGCCAATTCCTTCGTTGCGGGCAACTTGCGGGCCGATCGAGCCGCTGCCATAAGCTTGGGCGGCGTCGCCGTTGACGCTGGCTGTGCCGGTGGCTTGGCTCAAGCCACCGTAGTTGCTGCTGTATGCTTGACCAATGGAGAATCCTCGTCCATCACGGTACAGAACACCTGATGATGAAATAACAAAATTTATTTTTCCAAAAAAAATAAGTTTTAATAAGTAGTGAAGAGTAGACTAATTAAGTTTGTATAGCTTACCGTTTATAAGGACGGGACTCGAGTGGCACACGGCTAACAACGCCACAGCTACGACGAACTTGGCTGCCATATTTTGACGTGTTGTTAATTGTTTGGGAAGAGACAGTTGAGTGGATGTAGTGAGAGCATTTCTCCAAGCTTTTATACGAGTCGCGTGTGCCACCACCACCACCGGCGCGGCCGGCGCACGATTGACCCAAAAGTATCGAACTTCACCTAGAAAACTATCTGATGGACAGTCGTAAATCAAAGTGATAGATTGCGGTAGATTCGCGAGTAAATTTATCGCGAATTTTAACGGATGCCTTCAAAATGTTTTTAATTGTCGCGAATATAATGAAAATAAAGTAGAAAGGTGCTAAGGGCGTGGTGTTGGTTTGTAAATAAAATAACGTACTTACCCACAGCGTGTGATACTTTGTTCACTCTATCAAAGATAAGAATACTCATAATTTTGTGATTGCACATTTTGACGTGACAACGTCTTAAATTAGGTTGCGGCTGGGAGTCACTTATGAAAAAGTGTAACGCTCGGTAACGTTACGATGAGTCTCTCGTGTTAAGTTTAAGTTTACATGTACAATGTTTTAGTAAACAAAATATATTTCTATAGTTAAAATTTGTGCAATTCTTATTTTCATTCAATTCCTTGTTCCTATTGTGCAATTTAATTATATTCATATCAATAAATATTCTACCGAGAAAAAGACGTTGTCACGTAAAATCTTCGCCCGTAAAACCGACTTTACAGGCAACCATTTTGACGTGACAACGTCTTAAATTAGGTTGCGGCTGGGAGTCACTTATGAAAAAGTGTAACGCTCGGTAACGTTACGATGAGTCTCTCGTGTTAAGTTTAAGTTTACATGTACAATGTTTTAGTAAACAAAATATATTTCTATAGTTAAAATTTGTGCTATTCTTATTTTCATTCAATTCCTTGTTCCTATTGTGCAATTTAATTATATTCATATCAATAAATATTCTACCGAGAAAAAGACGTTGTCACGTAAAATCTTCGCCCGTAAAACCGACTTTACAGGCAACCATTTTTTTTTTATATATTTTATATATGTTTATTGTCACCATAATATTTCATTCATATTCATATTCATTTATTGCATCTTGTTGTATATATAGGTGTTACAAGTATGGTTAGGTTGCAAACAAGAGCCCTGTAAGGGTACGGCAAATTTTTAGATTATTATTACAATTAAATATTTTATACAAAATTAAATCACATATCTTAATAATATTATTTGTAAATTAATAGTAACATTTAAATACTAAAATAACTTTACAGTTTACATTAATATTATGGGTTTATATCATGTTTATTTATTTACCTAACCTATTTTTTCGTCAATATATTCGTTTACAGAATAGTAAGCCTTATGGATTAGATTTTTTAAAGATTACTATCAAATCTACTTCCCTGGGGGCCAATTGCCTAACGGGATTGCTTTGGAAAACGCTATCGCTTACGATTTCATTTCGTTATTTCTAGCAGCCTGAGGTTGTCAAATGCCTCGCGCTCTTTTTTTTTCTTTTGCATTGTTAACAACACTATTAAAGAAAATGAACGTGAGGTATTTGAAAACCTTCGGCGGTCAGAAATAACAAAATGAAATCGTAAACAATAGCGTTTTCCAAAGCAATCCCGTTAGGCGAATGGGTGCCTGGAGGGCTTTTAAGGAGTTAGGTAAGTGGTTATACAACTTGATTGCCATAAATTGTTGTAATTGTCATTGTTAAGTTTGTATAGCTTACATACTGTTTAATTCCCTTTCCCTACGAAAGGAAGGTAATATTATTAATATATAATATTATCTTAAATGAATATCTTCACAGATCTCTATTAACATTGCATTTTGATCATTGTTGACACTGTCGCTTTGCGATAACAATTAAATGACATTAATACGTGACTTAACGCAGAATTAAATTAATTAAATTAAATTAATCGGCGGCTGTAAAGCAATGATAAATAATGAATAAACAGCATAAAATCTATTTACCTAAGCACTTAAAGAACTGGTACCTATATCATGCAACCGAAAACGATACTTGAAACAGGTCAATAACATACCCGTTGTACTAGATATAGTGTGTTTTTTTTTCATAATACTATATGTTTTGAATCCTTTCAGAGTCACGTCATCCATCAAAACATCGATAATTAATAGTTGCATGAGTTTCATGACCTCTTGTGGTCTAATCGAGTGCATTGACCTTTCCGATATCCGTGCAATTCACATATGTTACATCGCCATGTATATACAATCACACATTATGATATTCATTATAGACACCATTCAAAAATATAGGTAGATGAACTTTTTTATAGTTCGATGATGAGATTGATTTAAAAAAAAGTTCAAACAAAATAGCAAAAACCACTGCCAACTTCGTCGAGTTAATTATCCAACTGTTTTTAGGGATCCTTTTGGGCCTAAGGTTAATACGGCCCTGATAACTACGCTGTTTAAACATCCGTCCGTGTGTCAACAGAATGATCGCAAGAACCGTGCAATAATTTTAATTTAAACAAGCGGCCCGCCCTCGCTTCGCTTCGGTGTAGAGCTGAAGTGTAGACTACAGTTTTTGTTCTCAGGCTTGTATTATACACAATGACATTCATCTGTGATTCTTCTTATACCTGCATGCAAAGTCTCAGCCCGATCGGTTTAAAATTGACAAAGTTTCATACAAACTTTCATTCCCTATTTTATCCCTTGGGGGAAGAATTGATCAAAATCCTTTCTTACCGGATGCCTACGTCATAACATCTACCTGCATGCCAAATTTCAGCCCGGTCCGTCCAGTGGTTTGGGCTGTGCGTTGATA